AGTTGACCCCCACCCGAGCGCGTCGCATTCAACCGGCCGCCGGGACGCGTGCTTATCAAAGCTATTGTCCAACACAAAAATACGCACCCCTTCACTTAATAGGGGTGCGTTTTGAGTGAAGTTAATCAGTTTGAGTGAATTGTCTATTATACTTAGCGGTTAGTGTTAAAGTAGCATATTTTATGATAGTAAAAACAACATGTCCATATTCAAGAAAAAACCGCACACGGGCTGGACGGCAGCCCCGCCCCCGCCCCGACATCGGCAGACGCACGCGCTGCCAGCCCGCTCGGCTGTCACTAGACCGCTCCCGAACACCGCATGTGGTGGCTGGGCACGCTGCTTGCCGTGTAGAAGGTGTGTCTGCATGTCTTTCCCTTCTGTGAACGATCGCATCCGGTGTTTGTTGTCAGTGATTCAGCGGAAGTCCCGATACAAGCGATTGCTAAGTTATCGGATTATTTTTCCGCATTTTTTCTGGTTTTGCAAAGCGTGTCGCTTAAATTTCAATGTGAGCAGCACTGTTGGGTGTTTGACGGGCTTTCCCACATGAAAGGTCCATTCTTGCTCGTATGTTTTTGCCCTGTTCGACTAACCATCGTCGTTCAACGTGTTTCAGTTACATAGGATAGAATTTGTCCACTCCAAACACCTCATATACCGAGACGTGAAGCCCGAGAACTTCCTCATAGGCCGGAGCTCAAACAGAAAAGACAAGGTCATCCACATCATAGGTATGTGATGCCAGGCAGCCCTACGGCGGCACCGCCTTCGGCTCCATCGGACGCTGTACGTCATACATGCGTCAGGCGTCCCCGTCCGATGTCATCCGCCCTTGCTCGCCGGACCACGGGCGTCAGCTCGTCCGCCGTGTGACGTCACCCGTCCGAGGTGTGACGTCAGCTCGTCCGCCGTGTGACATCATTCGTCCGAAGTGTGTTGAAACTACGGGAGCCGGCCGCCGGCCTGTCGTCGCCGGCGAGACGGTGCGCCGTCTGTCACGCGGTGCGCGCCGCTGCTGTGTTGCGCCTGACGGGCGTGGGCGCGCGGCCACGCTCTGCGGCGTGGCGCTCCGTCACCAGGTGGCGCTGCCGGCAGATTTCGGCCTGGCCAAGGAGTACATCGATCCGGAGACGAACCGCCACATCCCGTACCGGGAGAACAAGAGTCTGACCGGCACGGCGCGCTACATGAGCATCAACACGCACCTGGGCAGGGGTGAGCCAGCGGCGCGCGCGCGCGCGGGCGCCAACGTCGTGCGACGTCACTGGATGTGGGGCCGTGGGCGTTCAGGGGATGGTCAGAGCCCTGCCACGTCGGCGGGCTCAGGTAGCCGTGCCTAGTGAACGCGGGTCCTGTGGCTGAGTCCGCCCCGCAAAGGCAGGACCGAATGCTGACAGGCGGTGGGCGAGGGAGGTCCGGTCACTCGATAAAAGTATCGGAGCCAGGGGACCATCACACGCCGATAGTCAGTCACCACTTGTGGTGTAGCAGCGTTTAAGGCAGGCTCACGTGCGGCTAGATTTGTGTGTTTACCTGGGTGATTCATGGTGGGTCAACGGATTGATTTGTGTAAGCGTCTGGCTGATTGAAAGAATGGGAGCACACTGTACTTGGTATTTGTGGAATCCAGTTCGTCTCTCAGAGTAAGCGCAAACGTTCACCATGTACGTTGGAACCTCCAAAGAATATTGCAATGCTATGTTTGTTATCTTCTGTGCCTGGATTTAATTTTTCTCTTTGCTTCGCACTCCTGGAATGGGGCGTTCAGCTCAGCTCGTCCCCCGATCTCGTGAGCTTACGGCCGGCAGCCGGTGGCGAAACCATGCTCACAGCCACGTGTGGCCCGGCCCGAGCCGCGCCGGCCGTGTTCCAATGCTCGGTATACCCTGCCTGGAATAGGCCAGCTCGTATCGACACCGTCGGTACGGGCCGGCAAGTGGGCACCGGCCGGTAACGTATGGGACGCGACGCCAGCCGCAGCCGCCGCCAGCCGCCCGCCGCCGCCGCCGCCGCCGCCGCCGCTCCGCCGCCGCCCGCCGCCGCAAAACCAGACGGCAGCCGGCCCCAGACAAACGCCGCTGCTGTCTCCGCCCCGCGCTTGGGCTCAGGCCCCAACGCCTCCGTGGAAGCGGATGCGGGCAGCGGATGCTGCCCAGAAACCAGGCTGTGCGGTTGAATCGGCTGCCGTCGTGAGTGGGTCGATGCGAGGCTGGCTGGAGCGCGGTGTGCGGGCGGCCGCTGGGGCGGCGCAGTGCTCCGTCCTGTCGGAGACGCGCCAGTGCTCCGTCCCTGCCGGAGGCGCGCAGTGCTCCGTCCTGCCGGAGGCGGGAGATGTGGAGGCGGACTCGGCGCCAGCGTTATGACACTGACGGATCCGACGGGCCGCGGCGCCGCCGCCGCCTACCGCTTGGCTTGGCACGACCGCCAATCGCCGGGTGGCTGTCGGCAACGTGAGACATGGCCGCGACGACGGGAACATGGCCGCGCCCGCTCGCATCGGCCCGCTGCCCCTCGTTGGGGCAGCGTATCCCCTCAGCGGCCGCGCCGCCGTTTCCCTCAGCGGGACCGGGTGGATGCTCCTCTCAGCAGGGGTGGTTGGGTGCTCCCCCCAGCGGGACCGGGTGGATGCTCCCCTCAGCGGGGGTGGGTGGATGCTCCTCTCAGCGGGGGTGGTTGGGTGCTCCCCTCAGCGGGACCGGGTGGATGCTCCTCTCAGCGGGACTGGCTGGATGCTCCCCCCAGCAGGGGTGGTGGGGTGCTCCCCTCAGCGGGACCGGGTGGATGCCCCTCTCAGCGGGACCGGGCCACGCCAGACATCCGCTGCTGCCTGGCATCACTCATGCTTATAACTTCTTATCCTCGTTCACTGCTCCCGATTGCCGGAAGATACGTGTTTTTTTCTCAATCGTGTAAGTACGGCTAAGCGGAGTTGTGAAACAAATTCCCTGTGATTTGAAAGTTTTAACGCCAGCAAAGATGTGCACATTATTTTTCAAGCAATGCACAGTCGTTGTAAGCAAAAGTTACTTGCACTGTGCTGATATGCCATGCGGTATTGCAAATGGTGATACCATTTTTTTGGAGAGTTACCTATTGCCCTTTAATATAAGGTAAGGCGACCTGTTGGCTTTGGGTACTGCTCATCGGTTTCTACCTGTTCATTGTGGAGGAAGGTTTGAGAAAATCGCGATAAGTCTCCAACTGCACGACGGTCGTGAAGTCTCGTCGAGGAAAGGCTGCACGTTTTTTCCGGATGGCGACACGATGTGAGGTGGACAAGTCCAGTACGCAAACCAGAGGCCCAGGGGTAGAGTGCACAGTACAAAGGCCATTAAGTTATGAAATTTGGGCGACAGTTGATCAATGATATTTTGTATGCTTCATTGGTTAGGTCAGTTGAGGGATCTCATGGACTGTATGCTGCTGGTTTTGGCAAGAGTAATCAGCGCTTAAATGACGCCTTAAATCACCTGGTTGCTGTATTTGTCCCTCAAAACCATTTTTTGGCGTTTCATCTGGGCTTATAGGGTCGATCTGCGCGGTTACCCGTACTTGTGACGGTACATGCAACCGTTACGTTCCTTTTTATGGGTGCATCGATTTCTGGTCAAATTCACCCTGTCGCAGCACGCGAGCGCATTGCAAAGTGGACGCTTTGGTGTTAATTAGCGGGACCCCTCGTGGAATAACCTCGCTGGGGACTGTCCTTCAGTACTTGTGTCCGGTTGAAGAAAACCCCAGGCAACTGTTCTCAGCTGAAGGAGAGGGGGAGGGGCAGAAACTTAACTGAGACAGTCTGCAAAGTACGGCCGGCGTCACCAGTCCAGTCCAGTCCAGTCCAGTCCAGTCCAGTCCAGTCCAGTCCAGTCCAGTCCAGTCCAGTCCAGTCCAGTCCCAGTCCAGTCCAGTCCAGTCCAGTGTAGTTCGGTCGGGGCAAGTGGCGCCAGTCCGGGCCCACACCCGGGCAGACCCGCACTCTCCAGCGCCGTGCTGGAGCGGCCTGGCCTGCCAGGCGCGGCGGGCGGCGGCGCCCGTCCGGCGAGGCGCTTCACGGCAGCGGTCACCGGCCGACGGCGACGCCCCTCCCCCACCGACGACACACCTGCCGAGCGCGGTCCGCAGTCATTGTCGGCACACACCCCTGCTTCACCCCGCCCCCCCCCCCCCCCCATGGTTGCCGCGCCCCGCCCCGTCAGCTGGGGCGGTGTGGTGAGACACGCCTCCCTCTGTGTTCTCGGAATGCAGTGGTGAACCGGGCATCAATGTTCCGCCGAGTGCGGCGCCGCAAAACCTTGGAAGGGAACCGTTGAAGGTGATCCCGTTTGTCCGGCCGGTTGCGGCAAATGGATCAGTTTTACTTCGATGTGTTATCTGGGTTCATGGATACGTTTGGTGTGATCGCGTGCCATGACACACCTATAGGTTTTTATAGACCACCGTTCTGAGTATAACCAGCGCCGAAGTGACCGGGATCTGCTGCCCAATGCATGTCAGTGTCGGAAGAGATGTGTCATGGACCAGTTCACATTTTTCTTATGCCCAAGTACGGAAAACATTCAGTGCGCTGCCACTTTCCCCACCTGCGAACTGGCTGGCGAGACAAGCACACACAAATATTTGCCTTTGCTACCCGATCGCGCCGTGATTGTTGCATTTCAGTCGCTGCTGCCTTTGTGTCTGAAGAGTTGAATGGCCCGATACAATGGCTGGTCAGATGGGATTGTCTTGCGGCTGTTTTGGCGGTAGCGTTGTCGAAAGCATTCACTTTTCCACACGACGGCTTTGTTCCTGCACGTTCGGTGTAGGATTCGGTCCTGGCCTTATACGATCTCGTGATTGCTAAGCAGGAAGCCCGGGAGACATGGGCGCCATGGCGACCCATCCCCGGCCGGCGGCGGCGCTTCGGAGCCGGCCGAGTGTCAGCAGGGTGGCGTCCTGAGCCGGCAGAGCGTCGACAGGGCGGCCCCTCGGAGCCGAGGCCCCATGCTGCGGTGTCAGTCGCCAGCCGCAGCTGCCTCGGCTCGGCGCTGGTGGTGGCGCGACGCACAGCTGACCGTCGTGCCGCTCACCGTGTGTGCCAGTGGTGGCTCGCCCACTGGCCGCCGCTCCGGCCGTGTCGCGCGCGTACCGCTCGGCGCGGAGGCGCTCGGCCGCTGTGACCCTCGGACAGCCGGCGGTCGGGCCGGCCGTGTGGGCGCCGCGGCCGCAGACTCGGCCCGAACAGACCGGGCGTGGCGACAGGACCCGCTGTGGCACGCTGGCCGCCGCGTGCCGACCGTGCTGCCATAGCGAGCGGCGCACGTTCTGCTGACTCGGCTGACGGCTCCGTATTTAGGGCCCGCGAGCTGTCACTGGCGCGCGGCCCGGCCCGGCTCGGCCCGGTCTCGGCCAGCGCCACCTGTCGGCTGCCGCCGCGCCCGATAGCGGGCTGTTTCTGTCAAGTGGTGGTACGTCCGCGGCCCCTTGAGCTGGCGAGCTCTGATGGGTGGGCGTTGTGTCCCGAGGGCCGGGTGTCCCGGTCTGTAGCGGCGTGTCAGCAGGAGTGATGGCCCCGGCCCGATGCCGGCAGCAGCCACACGTGCGCCCCACTGACATTGTGGGGCTTGGCGCCACTCCCGGCTGAGCGGGCGCCGCAGCTCCGAAGTGGGCTGGGCGGGGAGGGGGGGGGGGGGGGGGGGGGGGCAGGCACTAATTGCGTCTGTTTTGCTCAGTACATCACGAGCCATTCTACGGACCATCGCACCGTCTGTCAGGCAGCGGGCGCAGTGTCGGCCGAATGTGTTTGAGGTATCTCCGTCAATGTCTATCGAGTCCTTCAGCGTGCGTGGCAATGTCACGCGCTGAGCTGTGCCCTTCTCTTTTTGTGGTACCTTCAACTGGATGGTATCAAGTGGAAGGGGGAGGGGGGGGGGGGGCATGCCAAAGCCAGTGTCCTGCGGCGTGTTACCGCCGACCCGGCGCTGCGACCCGATGTCGAATACCCTGTGGACTGGGGACTCTGAGCCGATGATCGCTGACCGCTGACCGGGATCTTACCCTTGTTTCAGAGCAGAGTCGGCGGGATGACCTGGAGGCGCTGGGTCACATGTTCATGTACTTCCTGCGCGGCAGCCTGCCCTGGCAGGGCCTGCAGGCCGAGACACTCAAGGAGCGGTACCAGAAGATCGGCGACACCAAGCGGGCCACGCCGATCGAGGTGCTCTGCGAGAACTACCCCCGGTCAGTGGCGACGGACGGCGGCGAGCGCGCCGGGCAGCCCCGCCGGGAGCGTGGCGTCGGCAGGCGCCCTCCAGAGACAGGTGCCGCCGGACGTGTCGGCACCGGCGCGTGCTCGCTGCGGGGAGAGCGACCTCTGAGCGGTGCTGTCGCAAGGGGCGGCGGCGGCCGCCGACTGCCGCCTCTCATCCATATGGAGCGGCCGCCCGGTCCACCGTGCGACTGACTGGTCATGTTAATGGCATGGCCTCGACCGTCGATCTGGACCCAGCCACCGGTCGGGGGCCCACCGCAAACACCCGAGTGGCGGGAGAACAGACGCACGCTGTCGCTATATGTGGTCCCGCAGTCGGCCGGTGACTCGGGCGGCGGGGTGTGCAGCGCTAGTCGGGCCGCGTGCCTGCGAAGCCCGGCGCCTGGGGGCCGAGCGGCGGGGTGTGCAGCGCTAGTCGGGCCGCGTGCCTGCGAAGCCCGGCGCCTGGGGGTCGAGCGGCCTAGGCTGCTGCAGGGGGCGTTGCATTGCCGCCGTGTTCGTGGAAGCATGGGGCGGCCGCGCCGGCAACCTCCGCCGTTGGTCTGGCTGCTGGTGGGCGGCTAGAACGACACTGCAGCCACGGCCTTCTGCTGACCCGCGGCCGACGGGCGCCCGGGCCCGTGACCTGTCGGGGCGAACCTGCGCTCCGCTCATTGCGTGTGCCCGTCCCTGCAGCGCCCTCAGCGCGTTGGCGGCGGTGCTGCCGCCGGCCCGGGGCCGCGGGGCGTGCGGGCGGCGGCGGCGGGTGCACCACCGCTGCCGGGGTGGCGGCCAGGCCGGCTGGTCAGCTGTCGGACCGAGTCGCTTCGTCTGCTGACAGTCGACCCGCTCGCTGTCCCGCCCCCGGCCCGCCTCCGGGACGGCCGCCGCTCTTAAGGCCATGCTGAGAGCGCATGGCAAGCGTGCTGAGGGCAGAGGACACTCCGGTGATAGTTTGGGGAGCGGGGCCTCTGCTGTGATGAAGCCGTTTCCCATGCACCGCTGACGGCAGCGGTGATGGGCCGTGTTGCCGTTGATGGCCCGCGTCGCCGTGATGTGTGGCGATAAGTCGCGGCCCTGGCAAGCCTCAAATGGTGCAGCGCCGGCGTGATCGGTTTTGGGCGCCTTGATTGAGAGGAGGAATTACGGCGAACGACGTTTTGCTATGACGAGGAATCACCGTATCGATATGATACCTGCGCCAGTGCTGAACGCAAAACACTAGTACCCGTTTTAAGCTCACTGTCATTCGCAGGTAACTCAGTTTACTGTGCGATATGATTGATTGATGTCTGTTGGTTTGTGTTATAATTGTGTCTTGTTGACGCACGCCTGAAATGTACCACAGATGAACTGGCCACCTACCTGCGGTACGTGAGGCGGCTGGACTTTTTCGAGATGCCCGACTACGACTACCTGCGCAAGCTGTTCCAAGACCTGTTCGACCGCAAAGGCTACGTCGACGACGAGGAGTTCGACTGGACGGGACGCACCATGGTGGGTGGGGGCGACGTCTTGCGAGGCGAGCAGGAGTGACGCGACCGTCGTGGTGTCAACGGACGGCACGTTCCTCGTAGTACGGCTGGACGGCGTTGGCCGAGGGGCACTTTGGCACGCTGGCCTGAACCGTGCGAGGTTTGGCTGGGCGATACTCGTGTCGTTTTTGACGGGACTGGGGCGCGCGGAGCTGTGCCTGACTGAAGTATGGTGGAGGTCAGTGCTGGTCGACGCTCAGTCGTGGGCGGGGCCCAGTTCCGGTGCGGATCGACCGCAGATCACGCGACGGTCCTCTCGTAAGCCCCGGCTCGTCAACGGCCGAGCCGGTCGCCACCAATGGCAGCTCGCCGCGCTGCGCCCGCTCGCCCGGTTATCATGGTGAACGTGCAGGCGCAATTGGTTCTCGATGATTGGTTGTCAGGGAGTGTCAGCTGACGTCGACCCTCATTCGCCAAGTGTGAGATCAGATTGGGAGTGGACTAGCGGTCGAGTAAGAGGTTGACCTCGTTTTTCGCCTGAGCACGCCATTATTAGAGCGCGGGCGCGCCCCGGGGTCGTCCAGGTTGTTGCGTGCATCAGCGCCTCCTTCAGACAAGCGGTACGCGGAGCTGCTCCGGTTTGGTGGCGTTCCTACCCACTTACCTCTCTTGTGGCACACGCCGTATCAGGCGTCCTGTTGGCTCGGCACACGTTGGCATATTCATGGTGTTCGGCAGTCCGGAGAGGAGAGAGAGAGAGAGAGAGAGAGAGAGAGCGAACGAGAGAGAGAGAGAGAGGAGAGAGAGAGGAGGAGGAGAGGAGGCGGAGAGAGGAGAGGATTGAGCAGAGAGAGAGAGAGAGGGAAGAGGGAGAGGGGGGGAGAGGGAGAGGGAGAGGAGAGGGGAGAGGGAGAGGGAGGAGAGGGAGAGGGAGAGGGGAGAGGGAGAGGGAGAGGAGAGGGAGAGGGAGAGGGAGAGGGAGAGGGAGAGGGAGAGGGAGAGGGAGAGGGAGAGGGAGAGAGGGAGAGGGAGAGGGAGAGGGAGAGGGAGGGGAGAGGGAGAGGGAGAGGGGAGAGGGAGAGGGAGAGGGAGAGGGAGAGGGAGAGAGGAGAGGGAGAGGGAGAGGGAGAGGGAGAGGGAGAGGGAGAGGGAGAGGGAGAGGGAGAGGGAGAGGGGAGGGAGAGGGAGAGGAGAGGGAGGGGAGGGAGAGGGAGAGGAGAGGGAGAGGGAGAGGGAGAGGGAGAGGGAGAGAGGGAGAGGGAGAGAGGAGAGGGAGGAGGGAGAGGAGGGGGGGGGGGGGGGCGATTGCCGGCCGGCCGGTGTGTCGCGCGGGTGTGAGGGCGGGCCCAGCAGGCGTCGACTCGTGTTGGCCCGGCTGGGCGGCGCGCTCGGCGTCGACTCGTGTTGGCCCGGCTGGGCGGCGCGCTCGGCGTCGACTCGTGTTGGCCCGGCTGGGCGGCGCGCTCGGCCGCGGTGTGATCGATCGGCCCGGCGCCGACTGACGCTCCCTCGGGCGACCCGGCGTCGCTCTGTCTGACCTCAGTGGCCTGTCTACTGTCTGGCTCCGACACACCGCTACCCGCTATGGAACGCCTTGTCTGCATGCCTGGTTCATGTTAAGTGGGATGAAAATGGCAAGCGGGTATTTTTGTGGTCACGACATTTAGACCCGGCTACCGCGGCGACTGCGCCGGATCTGAAGGCGCCTTGGCCTCAGCGCCGGATCTGAGGGCACCCGAGCCCAGCGCCGGATCTGAGGGCGCCCGAGCTCAGCGCCGGATCTGAGGGCACCCGAGCCCAGCGTCGTATCTGAAGGCGCCCGAGCTCAGCGCCGGATCTGAAGGTGCCCGGGCCCAGCGTCGTATCTGAAGGCGCCCGAACCCAGTGCCGTATCTGAAGGCGTCCCAGTCCAGCGCCGTATCTGAAGACGTCCGGGTCTCAGCGCCAGTTGCATCGGATGTGCGTTCGTTTCGGACCAACAATGGTGTTGGATGACGCCAACAGCGCTCCGTGCCGACGGGCCTGGAAGGTATGGCTGACGGCTGCAGTAGTCGCATACCGCCGGCGTATGACAAAGGCCCTTGACAGCAGAAGGAGAGTCAAACCACCCTGCTTGAAGCAGTAAAGCCCACGCGCACGGCGGCCGTGCTAGTGGGATCAGGGTTTTCCGTTCCGGAGGCCGTGGCGGACCTCAAAAGCCTTGCGCTTAGCTGTGAGCTGGCGTGGCCGGGTGAGCGAGGGCAGGAGGCCTATGGACAGCTGGTGAAGATGTGTGCGGCTGGTGCTCTTGCTGTCAGCAGCCGAAGGCGGGCGGCTTGCGGGCGGGAGCCTTGCTCCCGTCTGACGGAGCGCTGCCGCACACGGCCGGCTGTGCGGCCACCGAGGGGTGACTCTTTCGATGTCCCGCCCGGAAACCCCACTGACCAACTAGCCGAGCAGGGCGAACCCACTGCATGGGAGCGGTCTCGATTAAAGAGCACAAGCACCTAGTGGGCGTCACTGGTCAAGAAGCGTTGTTGCTTACGTTAATCTTCGGGTCTGTATGCGGCTAGTCATTTTGTTTGTCTGGAAGCCTTCTCAAAATGGTGTGGCACTGGGCGTAATGCAAACTTCACACAAAATGGCGCGGACAAATCAGTGCATTTCTGTGCCGGAGCAGTCGCCAGGTTAAGCAAAGGGGAGGGGGGGGGGTCTATCCTGTGACGCCACAAAGTCGCGGATTAATCGCTGCCCAGAATAGTCGAGCCTGACACCCTGAGCTGCGGTCGGCGGCGACAAGCGACGAACGTGAGAGTGCGTTTCGCAGTGTTGTAGCCATCCGAACACAGGCCTCCGATGTGTTGTGCCGCCCAGCGGCAGCGGGCCCTAACTGCGGTGCCGCCGCGCTGTGCCCCCAGTCGACGCCGGTCGGCTCTCTGCAGACCGGTCAGGAGGTGATCGTGTCGCCGAACCGAGAGCGGCATCCCACCACCAACAAGGTGAGACGGCCGCGAGTGCATGCCCCCGGTGCCGTCCCCGCCGTGTGGGTGTGCTCCCCGTCAGTGAGGCGGTGCATGCGCAGCACGCCCGCCAGCGTCGGTAGCGCGGCTGCCGCCTGGCATCGGCTGCGACGGCTGCCTGGCGCCGGCCGCTGACCGCACGCGCCCCTCGGTCTGTCTGCAGGGCGGCAAGGCGGCGGCCGCCTGGCCCGACTCACACCGGGCCTCCAATAACCTGCTGGGGGGCATGCTGACCCCGGCAGACCGGCACGGCTCTGTGCAGGCAAGTGGGGCGGCCCAGCGCGGCTCGCGACGCGGCCTTCCGCGCGGCTGGGCCGACGGAGATGGCGGCTACGGCCGGGACAGCTGACTGTTGGGACGGAACAGCCTGGGTAGCGCGCATGTGCTTGGAGCCGTAGCGTAGTCTGCGTGGTGTGCTCCCAGTGTAAACTCGGACGGAGTAGGGCGCCGGTGTGACTTGTCCAGCGCGGCCGCGCCGCTGACCTGGCCTGACCGGACCGGATCTGGCTCCGACAGGTGATGAGCTCGGCCAACGGTGAGCTGGGGGCCGACGACCCGACGGCCGGCCAGAGCAACACGCCGATCGCCGCGCCGCCAGACGTGGATGTGGTCGACGAAACTAAGTACGGCGTCGCGTCAGGTGCCGCCACCGTTGGACGCGTCCACCCGGTCTTAGAGTCATCCGCTGTCAAGCGAGCAATCACTGTTGAGCAGACATCTCTGTCTCCCGGCTTTGTGGTCAGAATGCGTCTGATGTCGAAAGTGACAGTTGGACATTTCGAATGGCAGTGGCTCGCAGTTTCCGTGTCATTCTCTCTCCTTGTATCATCTGGGGTGTGGCGGTTACCGTCATTTTGTTGTTATCACTGTTTCATTTAGTCACTGACCGCTGTCATTTGACATACGAAAGTGACAGTTGGAAATCTCGAATGGCAACGGCTTGCAGTTTCCGTGTCATTCTCACTGCTTGCATCATCTGGCGTGTCGCGGTTACCGTCATGTTTTTGCGAACACTATTTCATTTAGTCACTGACCCCTGTCATTTGACACGCCTTTCTGCTCTCGTCGCCGTTCGACGTGTAATTCACGCTCCTGTTGTGTAAGGTGTCATTTGACTCATGGCGCCGGCCGACGTGCTCCTTCGGCTCTTGTGATTGACGCGTCATTCTGGCTCCTCGTGCGATGTGACATATCACTTTGGCTTCCCGTAGTGTGTGACGTACTACTCTGGCTTTCCTGACTCGGTGACTTGCCACTCGGGTTGTCCTTGCTCTGTGACGTGTCACTGGGGGTTCCCGGATGGTGACGTGTCACTCGGGCTTCCCTCACCCTGTGACGTGTCACTCTGGCATCCCTCACGCTGTGATATGTCACTCTGGGCATCCCTCACTCTGTGATATGTCACTCTGGGCATCCCTCACTCTGTGACATGTCACCCCGACTACCCGTATGGTTCGACGTGTCACTGGCTCGTTTCTCCACCTGACACTGGCTCCCGTTACTGTCTGGCGCACCACTCGGGCTGGTATCGCGATATGGCATGTCACTGGCACCTGCCGCCGTCGGACTCTGGCTCCTGTCACCCCTAACGTGACGCCGTGTGACCTGTCACTGGGGTTGCTCCATCAGTTGGCGGTCACTTTGGCCCCTGCTGTCCCCCGACATCTGGCGCTCGCCCCTATCACCGTCCGACATGTTTGGCTTCGGTGATCGCTTAACCTATCACTTCGGCTACCATCGAGACCGGGCATGTCAGTCTGGCTGGTTTTGCCGCGTGACATATTGTTGTAGCTCCAATTGTCACCTCATGAGCCGCTGGACCGAACGATCCGCTAATGTTGTACTTGAGAACGCTTGGGACGGCCTGGTGGCTGCCTGATTTTCCACGCAGACACCCGTCGATGTGTCGGCATTCCGCCTCAAACCCCTGCTGTGGGTGCCCAGTGACCTGTATGTTGATGGACTCAGCACGGCGCTGATCGCGTGTCGGCCGCGCCGGCAGGTGCTGCTGCTTCTTCAAGCGGAGGAGGAAGAAGTCGCGCGGCCCGAAGTGACTGGTGCTGGCGTGGGGCCGTGGCCGGGGGCAGCAGCAGGAGGCCGTGGCCGTCCTGCTGTCGGCGTCGCGCTCCGCCTCGCCGGACACGGCGCTCGACAAGTAGCACCGCCGACGCGGCCCGTCGGCGGCGCCGGCGCGCGTGCCCGGGCCGCCGCGCCCCCACCGTGGGTGTACATAGAGAGAGACAGTGCGAGGGGACGGCGCCCGCCGGCGGCGGACAGCTCACTGCTACCTGTGATTTCGTTTCATTTTCTCTCGTCCTGATTCCCAGCGGGTCGTTTTAGCGTCCCGAAATCGGCCGATATTACTGATTGTGTGCCACTTAGGCGTGCCATCATTTGTACGTATTCCTAGGTGCGACAGTGATTTTATTTAATTATAAATCCAGTGCATACACTAATTGGTTCTGATCGCCTCTGCTGTGCGCGGCCTGACGTGTTCCAGTTGATTTAATACCTAGCCGTAAGCGTCATTGTGATTCCGGCCCCCTGGCCGGCCCGTGATACGGCCAAGCACTACCGTTCACTGTTTTATTCACTATTAAAGCATTGTTACATCGGCATAATGTGTACAAAGGTGATGAATATGACATGGCTGTAAACCAGGTGATTTGGACGAGGCGTGGGGCCGGGGTGAGCACTGGGAGACGGGTATGGTTTTCGGCGTAGGCCAAGCTCCGCTCGGTAGCGCGGAGCCGAGGGTAAAGCACGCGGTCGCGAGCGCCAGGGTGGCGCAGCGTGGTAACCGACGCCGCACCTGGGCGGCAAGGTCAGGCCAGAGATCGCAATAGTCGTTTCGCTCATCCACCAGCGGTAACCATGGCCCGCTAGGCCAGCCCACACCGCGCATGCCTCGTTCACGGAGAACGCCGGCACGGACCAGCCGCATTGTAGCCAGATAGAGGCGAAAACCTCAGTGCGCAGGTTGGACACCGGTGCGATCCATGTGCTTGGTGCTCGTGGGTGCAGTGAACACTCTTGCGCGCGTGGTGGGCACTCTGGTACCCGGGTAGAAACTCGGGCGCATATGTGTTCAGCACCCCTGTGCGAGCGGGAGCGGGTACTGAACATTCCGATGTAAGCGGTGCGCATTCTGAGGCGCGTGTTGAGTACTCTGACGCGCGCGGCAGAGGCTCCTGTGCACATGATGGTCACCCCAGGTGGTGTGGTAGGAGCTCGGATGCGCGTGATGTGCTTCATGCTCATAGATATGCGTGACACTGCTTATCAGAAGTGAGCAACAATATCCAGCGCCGTGCGATGACCAGCCATTTCGCTGAGGTGAGTGCACCAAAGATCCAACAGTCATTTCCGTGCAAAAAGCACTTTGCCTCAGACTTGAACCACAATGAAGTAGGTCGAAACTGCTTTAGAAAAAAACGTGCATTTTGTCTTTACACATTTCACCTGAAAGCAAGGTACGAACCCTTTGTAACGAACAATTTTTAAATGTGCGGGATGGTGACAGAATCCCCCCCCCCCAAAAAAAACGGACAAATTTGGCCGACAGGAATGCCAGTTCAGTAGCCTAGACGCTGCGAACATCGCTGTTACGTGCCGTACAGGATTCTTCTAACCGACTGTGCCGTGTCGGGCTCTCGCAGTTCGGGAACACTACATACGCACTCCGTGCACTGCTCGACAGACCCTCCCAACATCTTCACCAGCCACAGTTTCACCAAAGCGTCGGTGAACCGGACATCGTTCGGGCAGACTTGAGCCGGTTCCTCATGCCACTGAAAAAGCTCCCAGTCCTGTAGGAGCTCGTCGACCCTGTTCCCGGACTGGACCAGCGTGTCCTGTACGTCCCAGTTATTTAGCAGCGGCAATCCCCTCATGAGCAGCATGTCCAGCGCTTTGAGGCTGACCCGGCCGCTTGTCATCCGCAGTAGCATTCTCATGTCGGCCGGCAGACACTCCATAAAGCGGGTAGCGTTGTGCAGACTGTATGTGTCTACCTCCGCTTCACTAGAGCCTTTCTTGATACCGATAACCTCTCGGACAGTCAGGCGGGACGCCCAATCAAGCGCACGGCTGGCCAGATGGTGTTGACCCCGAGTCATCAGATGTCCGATGGTTTCTAGTACCGGAGTGTAGGTGTTGTTGATGCGCTTGGCTCTCACGTAGCTGTCCGTGTGAGCCGACTTGTGCTCCTCGACCCAATCAATAGCTGCGTATCTGCTCAGGATATGGTCGATATGGTGGACGTTCTCTTTTGTTTGCCCGGGTCTTTCCCAGCCAGCCATCTTCAGATGCATCAGGACCTCTTCCTCTTTGGCAAATATTTTCGGTGTTCCAGCACTGGCCAATTTTTCTGCAGTGACGTCTGCGCTTGGGCGATCTAGATCTAAGACTTCTAGAAGTTTCTGGTCCAGAATCTGGTACACATCGTGCCGAAGTGTTTCCCGCGATTCGGCTTCCCTGTGGCAAGTGCTATCAATGTCGTGATCTCCACATTCTGTTTGCCCACGCGGTCCGTTGATCTGGCTCAAGCCAGGTCCGATCTTTTTCAGGGCAGTTTGTTGGGGTTCATCTTGTTTGAGAGTTAGCTGGGCGTCCAACAGTGTTTCTGTGACATCGAATGGAAGATGGCGCTCAGTCACGGCCAGGAAGTCCTTTAACATTCTGGAAACCTGCCTTTCATCAAGGGTCTCACCGAAGGATTCATAGCACAACTGGAGCAGGGTCGTCCGGAAGCTGGGAGACGTGCTAGATTTGCAGCAATCGACCCAGAAGTCCACGTGTTCTTTCCCGATATTTTCACACAGTTCGCTGTCCCTCCGATGAAGCCGTCCGCAGGACGCCTTCGACCCATGAGTTCTCGTCTTCCTGGAGGCTAACGAATATGGCGACGGTGGCAAGCATGAGCCAGCTGCCGAAGCAAGGTTTGGCAGCGCCCGGCGGCTGTCGCACCTCCCACGCGTCACGAAGCAGCTCGGCACACCGGGGGATCATGGACTCATTTCTCCCGAAGCCGTTGCTAGCCTGCCGGATCAGGCCTGACGCCAGGGCTGCCGGCACCGCGGCACGATCCCCGGACTCGATCGCCTCCAGCAGCGGCCCGTGGAAGTCCAGCAGGGGCTGGACGGTGGAGAACTCGAAGCGGACCCTGCTGTCAATGTCGAACAGGGACCGAAGTGGACTGCGACGAATTCCCTGCAGCTGTAGTCTAACCGTCTGGACGTCAGCGACGCTGCAGCTGCTGATGAGGTTGTTATCCGGCATGAAATATGCGGGAATGCAGTGCGCTGCCAGGCAGGCGTCGATGCGGTCGAGCATATCCAGCACGCGACTGAAAAGCTGATCTTCGGTCCAGGTGGATTGCTGGGACTCCTCCAGCTCCCAGAACATCGTCGTCTTGATGTGGTACGTGACGAGAACTTTGGGCTTCCCCAGCAGGCACTTTTGCATCAGCTTGACGATCAAGTACACCTTCCTCTGGATGGGAGTGAGGCAGAGCGCCAGCCGCTTCTCTGGCACCGAGAAGGACACCCTCCACTCCAGGTCCCGGCGCGAGCTCAGCTCGTGGCCGGTCGCCACCAGGTGGCCGCTGCAGCGCTCGGCGATGTCCTGGCGGGCGGCAGTCGGAGGCCACTCGGCGTGCCGCCGGACGACGCGGTCCAGCCAGGCCCGCACGGCCGGCAAGGGCTCGGTCAGCGGCAGCGCAGGCACGCTATCCGTGTCGAAGTCAGCCCCGCGCAGCTGCTCAGTGGAGCTTATGGACGGCCCGTGGCGCTCCACCACCGCACCCGAAGCGCTTCCCACGCGGGCACGGTAATCCATGAAGACCTGCATAGCTGCGTCGCTCGCCAGGTATCGTTGGCACTGGCCGTCTTCGTCACTACCATCTGACACCAGTACAGAGGGCCGTAGCTGCTTGGCCAGTTCAGCTCCCAGTTCAGGGTCCAATGCAACGCGGACGTAACCGCTGTGGCTCGACCGACTCTCTTCTATATACAGGGAGCCGCCTCCACGCCTTGGCGACACGCGCGCGTAGTCGATCTCATACATCACATCCGTGTCAGACCTCACGACAAACGGTTTGTCATTTACTTTTGCCTGCCTTGCCTCCCCTGTGAGTTGCATATCCCGTGCATCGACGGCACGCGTAGCGTTCTGCACGCCGCGCAGGATCCTTTCACAGTACGACGGAACGCCCAGCTCCTCAACCGACGACCCGGTCAGTAAAACGTCATCACCGACAAATTCAGTATTCCGGGCATGCTCGGCACTGGCCCTCACGCAGTGCAGGTACTTCTGGATGTCGCACAAGGGCAGAAAGTATCGGAGCACCAGAGAACACGGCCCAACCGGCAGGCCGGTCAGCAGGTCACGTTCGTTGTTAGCCAGACAGCGGCCCAGGTCGGTCCTGGGCAGGGAGTGGCCGCTGTCGTCTTGCAAAGCGTCACCCGCGACAGGAGGCTCCGCGCTCATGCCGACTAGTCCAGCGAAGGCGCGCGGTGGCTGCACGCTGTTCACTGTTGCCACAGATCACTGCGTCCCATCACTGAACAACCTTCCGTGACATTGCCCGGCGTCCGGCGCGTCCGGCCTAATCTATCTGCTGCATACCACAAGCGCGTCTCAAGCAGGCGCGGACGGTCCGCTGCACGCTGGCGTCGTGCCAAATCGGCAGTGTGCAGAGGCGCACACGGGGCTCATTAAAGGGAGGCTCCTTTCAGAGCACGATTTCAAAATTCAGCTGATTCAGTGCACAACATGTACAAGAGGTACACGCTTTCTGTCAGAAAGAGAAAGGTGTGCGCACCTGGAACCTTTTGCGCGTGCCCATGGCAGCATACTATAAAACTCGGGCCTGAGCGTCCAGATAAGCGATGACGACTCATTCTCGTGAAAATCGTTTTGCCGGCTTTTGTCACAGCATTATCCGGCACCGCGGGGTCGGTTGCCCCTGCTGGTCCCGGCGCCGCGGGGTTGGTTGCCCCTGCTGGTCCCGGCGCCGCGGGGTTGGCTGCCCCTGCCGGACCTGACGCCGCGAGGTCGGCTACTTTTTTATAGGCTGGGGCTCAAGTGCAAGTGGCTATAGGATGGCTTTTTGAAATACTGAGCTCAACATTTGGGACCAATTCGCACCAGATGACCATCATTAGTTTGATGCACATAGGGCCAATGAGCATTACAGTACCGAGAAAGCTGAACGCTGGAAACTATATATTCATGTTCTACCTAAAAAGGTGCCCTTGAACTGCATCTGCACGCATAGCGGTGGGATGAATGGCTACACAAGTTATCACTCGATCATTTGTTGAGGCGATTCAGGTGAATAGTTGTGATTTAGCACGCATGCATACGCACCCAAAAAGCGCCCCACCTACTACCACCTTCAATTTGCCACCACGATCAAGACCACAGCACCACAGTACGTCCCGTTCGCAGAGGTCTCAACAAAACTAGGGAAATTGTAACGCAAGAAGATCTCACAAAATGCGCGTAAAAGTCTCTGGGCAAAAGCCTGCAACGACAGGATGCGAACATACGTTCACGTGCCACCTGGCGACCGACCTGCCAGAGGTACGGGTACGTGCCGCTAAGACCGACAGGTGGCAGCACGGTCCACGAAACCCCACCGGTAAAAAATGGG